TTAAGCTTCTAAACTCTCATATATAAAGTTAACAACTTTAAATAGGTTAGAAGCAATAACGAGTTTGTTTATCATAAATCTTATTGAATAAGATTTGTAAGTTTTCACTTAATAGCACTTATATATAAAATTATTTTGAAAATAAAATTAAAAACCAAGTTGTCAAATAATTTTTTAAAATTTGATGTTTTAAGAACTAAAAAACATTAATTTTGTATAGTATAACGATCAAACATTTTAGTATATAGTCGGATCTCGATATAGCACTCTTGATATAGTCACGAAGTATAAAACTAATTCTATCTCGTTTTACCAACCATTATAAAGCATAAGAAAATTAATCTATGTATAAGCACTATTACCTTAGTCGCATTTTGGTTACCAACATGGTATTTATATTGAGGTCTGACTGTATGTTGCAATAAATGTAATTGCTTTAAAAAATATGTATATTAATATTATGATCCCCTGCCTAACTATTTGTTATTCATGACGATGACCACCTTCATTCTAATTTCCCGTATGACCGGGAATCTTCCTATGAGAGATTCCCGATCATGTGGAAGTTAGAATGTTTAGGTGGTCATGAATAACGTATTATTCATTTATTTCCTGTGAGGAGTTTAAAATTACAGCAGAGAGGATTCCACGATGATTATATGATGCAGACGGCCTTTCGGGCTAACTGTATCCTATGATCATTGCTGTAATTTTTAATCTCACAGGAAATAAATAATACTAATTTCCTAATTAAAATATATCTCCGAAGGGAGGATCCCTAATTACTCTCACCAGTTTTGATAAATGCAGTCTCCGGTATATTACGTCACTCTTTGTATATCAATAAGATCCGGTATGCAAAAACGTAAAAAAAAAACAGTTTTTCAATACTCGTCAGTAACTTAAAAATTTTATTAATAAAATCACCTTTCGCATTAAAATTCCTTGCAAAATTTTAGTATAAATATATGTTCTTTTAGACCTTTATATTTACATTATTTGAGTATTGCTAAAAGAAAACCCGAAAATTTAAATATGACTTATATTTGAATTTTCGGATTTTCTTTTAGCGATACATTTGATCCAATCAAAATTTTCAAGTCTACTTCGTCTGATCAAAAGCAAGATTTCTATTCGTCCCCATAATCGATTTACAGTTGTTCTTAAAATAATGTGAACAGCAATCCATATACATATTTATATAAAAATTAATGAATGAAAATTTGGATATACGTAATTATTTTGTACGTGATCGGCATATCAACTGAACTATCTGAATAGGTTATATTATTACGAATTTCAAAAAAAAGCAACTTCATTTTATCGATAATCCTATATCAATGAGAGCGTTGTAGGGTGAAAATTGTATTTAATGATTTATTATGATTAGTTACAGTTTTTACTTTAAAACTACTTATATCATAGATATCATATGGAGGTTTTGCTAGGAAAGGAAAATAAGCTGAAACAATTGCAAGCTTATCTTTTTTTTTTTTATTAAATAAAATTATCGTAACATTTACCTAAAGTCGCAATTTCAAACACACGCGTGAAAGGAAATCCCATTCAGAAACTAATTTTAGTTCAGGCTCCTGAAGTGCAACTTCAAGTAGGTGTCAACTTTCAAATGATTGTCAGGAAAATGAAATCATTATTCCTTTTAGAGTTAAACTAAACTGATCTTTGCAATTCGGATTATTTATAAAGTTTGTAACGGTTAATCATAAACCTATACTGTGTTTATCATATAGGCAGATTTTTGGAATTGATATTAGGAGGTTTAAAAAAAAAACCCTCTTAATATCAATTCCATAAATCTCGTATTCGGGTTTATCTATATATCCGTGTTTATCCGGATTATATTAACGTGTCATGTTGTGAATGATAACTGGTTATTCACTAGGATATTTACTATAAAAAATCTGTTATCGATTACTAAAACTCGACCGATAACTAAGTTATCCGATAATGTGAACACAAAACAATTTCTGTATAACTTATTCAGCTTCCTTCTAATACAAATACACAAATTTTCACTTACCTCTTAACACTAAGAGGTGATGAAAAATTTGTATATTTGTATTAGGAAGTGACCGAATAATTTACACAAAAATCGTTCGGTGTTCACATATGACATGTCGGGTAAATGTAAATATCCGAACCGGACTCCCTTTATTATTTTCATCATTTCCAATTTACGATACGGAATTCCAAATTATAAATTATATTAAAAAGTATATACAAAGAATAAATAAAAAGATAGACTCTAAAGGTTTAAATCGTCTCATTATGTTATTCAAGGATTTTTTTTTTTCAGCGCCAATTTTCTCTTACTAGTAATTTCCCCGATATCTCCCAATATTTCTCTGAAAATGTAAATAAACTTAAAACGAGAACAAATAAATGAAAGTGGTAAAAGTGATTAATAACACGAGTCCTTGTCATGTCATCATATGAAACGAAAATAAACAATCTTTATTTTTTTTCTTTTTTTAAAAAAAAGTTAAGGTGAGGTTATAACAATTAATTAATAATTGACGGTTATCAAAATTTATAAATCACTACATATTATAATCGCTCGAGTCACATTATAGAGAAACTGATTTTTAAACATACATAATTTACTATGTAATAGTCATGAAAATGTAAAGATTGATATGCTTATAAATCCACGATAGAAAACAACGGCACAACGAAATAAACAAAAGCACCATTGGAAGCAACAATTAGAAGTGATTAATAATGATATGAATGGAGGCACCAATAAATTAATGATGGCATTCATCTATTCGTAATAGAACAAAGTTTACCCGTATCTGTTTATCCGTTCTTGACTAACTCTTCTGACAGATATTCGGACAAACCGGATAATAAAGAACTATTATCGTGCAGATACTTGCAGTCTTGGACTTTTTATTTTGTGTTTATAAATATAAAAGCCTAAATTAAAATTAAATTAGCCAATGAAAACTGATTATCATAGTTATCATGAACAACCAACAATTCAATTTAGTTATCTAAAATCCGAATAATTTGAATAACTTGAATGACTAGTAAAATTTCGGATTATCCGGTCGTTCAGACAAATAGTTCTACCAATAGCATTAAGATATAAACATATACTTATTTAGGTAGCTTAATAAATATACAAACACTAATTAGACTAGACCATGTATTATGAATAAAGATGTTATTACACGTTATTGGTAATCGCTATTGTGTTAGTTCTACTGCATGTAAAACAAATGGCATTATGTATGTATCTTTCGTAGATCATAGTTCACACATACAATCATTTGATTACGCGATTGTGTACAATTATCAAATATTTAAAAAAAATATAAGATTCGTATCAAATATTTGAACAGGAAATCACAATCGCGCAATATAAGCCATGATCTATAAGATGTGATAATTTGATAATTCATTGCAAGGTTATTCATAAAAAGCTTGAATTTCTCTAATTTTTAAGTTTCTCTAATGTTGTAATGTTTAGGCTTCTTTACTTTACCTATTCCACTTTACAAAACAAATTCTCGGCAAGACCAATTTTAACAAGGTCATTTTTTTAAAATGCCAGTATATAGTTGGAAATGAAACAAACGTTAATAATAAACTTTTGTAGTGCAACAAAGAAAAATTAAAAAAGTAATAATTTATAAAATTACCATAAATAAAACAATGTTATCGTTACTAAAAATGTTTGTGATAAATTATTAATTTATTCTTTTATATATATATATTTTTTGCCAGCAACTAAATTTACACATATGTTTATTTTTACCGTAAATCGTGCTAAATTTATAATTTATCTTTTTATATACTATTGTTAGTACCTATGTAATTTTTAAATAGTTGACTAATAATTGCGATATGTATTAAATCAACTTGACTAATAAACTAGCCATCCGAGAATCAATTACCATCTAGCCACTAGTGTCACACCAGCCTAATGTGAATGCAAAAAATTAACGACATCGATATTTACAACGACTAATACCTTACCAGAGTTATTTTAGTGAGCAGTTTACAATAATAACGAAAATTGTGGCAAAGAAAAGTTCATAATTCTAAAAATACATTAACTTATTTGGTCAGTTATGCATGATTATGTATGAATTATGTATACATATGTACGTATCAGTATAATCTGAAGAGACACTAACTTATTAAAATTCAGATAGAGGCGTTTTTTAAAACAATACGTAGAATATTAAAGCTTTAAAATTAGAGATTAATGACGCCACCCATTACGATTACTACGTACTATTACGATCACTAATTACTATCAGCCACAACTGAAGCAAGTAAATTACTCTATTTACGTAAATATGACATAAAGATAATAAGGCATATCGATACAACGACTATCACAAAATTGGATGTTCCATTACAAGTCATTATGTTAAGTATTTATAGGTTTTTGTCAATCGCATAAATATTTATAGCCATATAATTTTTTATAATCACGTGCTAATACTTAACTATATAAATAAATAAATAACATATGAAATACATATTGATATATTTGAATATCGAAGATCATGTCGATTTAATGAAAATAAATTGTCTCTAAAACACTGCATAAGATTGTGTAGAAAATCATATCTTTTAAAAGTAGATTAATACATGGTTTAAGCATTCCATGCTGTTTCAAACAAACCAGTTTTTTTTTTTTTAATTGCTTGTTAACTCAGTTTACTTATCGCCGTTTAGTATAAAGAGAGCTTATGTACGGTAAATTGACAGATTTACACATACAGTATTACACATAATACGTATCATATGTACAAATCGGTTGCACTTTTATTTTTGTTAATCATCAAAACAACATATAAACACACATTTTTTCATTAGATTTCACTATTGGCACGCTTTTTAACGTACCAATTCTTTTCGAATAGATCACTGAAATTGTTATATACGATAACTAACAATTTCAAAGAATATTCGTTAAAAAAACAAAAAAGACTTTTAAAAATTATATATACGTAATAATCATGCTCTCAAGTATTCATAACTACTTTGTCGTCAAGTCCTACCAAAGTGATATAAATACATCACCTTCCCTTGAACCTTGGGAACGAGCATTACTATGTATGTATCATCTCAAGATTCATCGTATCACTGTATTGATTTCTTTTAAAGATTCGATTCCTAACTTCTTGATTTCTCTCCATTCAAAATAGATGCACTAATAATTATAAGCATAATCTTATTTATGTATACGATATTGTTCGGGTTCTCAGATTTCGCAAGTGCAAATTATCCGGAAAGTAATATTCACTATCCACTAAAAATCTGTGAATACCACTCTCTTTATCTATGATTTTATGGAATGCATTGGGTTTATTTTATTCATGGGCTTGTTATACAGGGTCTTTTTAAAACATGGACTTTTTATACAGGGTCATTTTAGAACATGACCATTTTGCTGTTATATATTATACTTATGAAAAAAATTTAATATAATGATTTAGTTTATTTAGTAGCAATGTGCTTATTCAACATCTCTTCTGCTTTCTCTTTTCTTAATTTTTTTGATCACCTGATCAAGTACGGTACAAACTAAAAGAGGGCAGCTCAGAACATATATATTTGATACCCTAAATTGCCAAAAATAAAATTAGCAAATCTATCCTCTATTTGAGGAATGATCTTAACTCTTGATTTTGATTTTTTTTTTTAATGCATATTCCATACAATTGTTTTACGGCTTCTTGTATTAACCGTTTATGTTGAAACAACATGCAAGTACGGGCAAGTTTAAGGCTTTTTTTTTTTTTTATATCAGATATGCACTCATCGAAAGATCAAAATATCTCCAAAAAGATTATGTCAAATATTGAAACATTGTATTAAACAAGTAAGGGATTGCGTATCTTGTTATTAAAACTAGTAAGTCCTATAAAAAACGTGAGTAACCTTTTTTAATTCTAGAGGAACATTGGTAAAATTTGGAAATTATCGAAATTATCAATGATTCGATGACACCAAACTTCAATCCATGTGACAATTAGTTAAGAGCGCTCACATACGTACAGTACGTACATGAGTGCGCGCACATAGTACATATATGCTTCATCCAAACTACTTCAGTCGGGTGTATTTCTTTATGCCAAGAGAAAACTTGGAAGTTTCGACATCAATCACTGGTTTGATGATAAGTTACGTACGTAAAATACCTAAGTTTAATAAAAACTTAATGTGATACTAATTATCACATAGTCTGGTAATTCGTAACTTCCATTTCTAAATTGACCCATTTTTTTTAATATCTTATCAGTACGTATGATATCAGAGCAATTACCAAATAAATACACAACAGGTAATAATAACTGATAATAAAATCATACGTACGTACTGTAGTGATAGTCTTTTGGTGATACTGCATACAAATTACGCCCTTATCGTTATATATTTTATAAATTAAAACCGATGCGACTAAAATAATTTTCTTGCGAAAATATTTTTATTAATAGATTAATTGTGGCCTTGGCTTATTCATTATAAGGTTAACTATCTGCTTTAAAGTTCCGTTTAGAATCTTCTATTTTTGAGTAACAGGATATGCTAAATTTGAATTCGATTATTCGTCTATTGCTTATTATCTATTACTGTATTATTTCATTGTTATTTTACCAAGTTTATACGTATTATTATTTAGTTAATCGACCGGAGCATCAACCTACAGTATCTGTAGAGTAACAGGTATGCATTAATGTTGAGCATTAATTGGATTTAGATTTTAGAAATGTAACGTACGATCGTCTTATAAGGCGTTTTTTTAATACGTTAATATCACTCGTAAAGATTCATAAATTGTCGTAAAGTGTCGTAAAGCTTTTTGGTTATATTTTATTATATTTTAGGGAATTTTATTTCCACACAATAATCTAGATCGATTTTATTAAACAGGGTTGTATCAATATCAAAAAGGGGTGTGAAAAAATATTTTAATGCGTAATTTGACTTTTGTATATATATAATTTTACTTATTGGCGTATTTCGATAAAGCCAATTTTTTTATATCATTGTCGATTGTGATTTTTTAATCGTATTATCTATATATATCGATATACGTAATTAATCTTTTTTTATAACAGATAACAATAAATAAATATACGTCATATACCTATGACCTTTCCGGGTTATTAAAAATTTACTAGCTCAATAGTCCAATTTTAAATTGTTTGTTGGATATTGGCCAAGACTTTATATATTTATATATTATTTTTATTTGTTTAGAATAGCCAAGACTTTATACGTATTTATTATGTAGTTTTTTTTTAGTTTTATGATAAAAATAGTTGTTCTGGTAAATCATAACTAATACTAAAAAACGTTCCTATTGTGTAAAACACTAAATAGCAATCGATATTTATCAGTCAAAAAAATTTTCTAGGTACAATATATTATAGAAATCGATAGAAATAAAATTAATATTGTATGGAAATTGATAGTAATGGTGTTATGTTCCCAATGAGCAATACGATTAGTAGTAGAGTATATTGCCAAAATCGCATTTGAGTATATAAAACTAGCATACTATGCTCATTATATTATACATATAAAATAGTATATACTGTATAGTTGTAAAGAATTTAATCATTATGTGAATTTATTTATCTTTATAATAAAAAAAAATAAAGATTGTTTGCACTGCTTTCAAAAAATCAAAACTTTTACATAATCGCTTTAACAAAATCATGATTTTTACAAACTTGTACGTCTATTCTTTTAATATAGCAATGCCAAAATTTTATACATTGATAAAAAAATAATTTACTTCATTAATTTGCAAAAATTTTCTATATACAATGATGTTTGTTTTTTCAAATTCGTTGAAAATAGTATTAACAATTTAAGCAATTCATTCTTTTTAAGTACCTTAAGATGATAGTATAGAGTTATGTTTTATTTTATAAAAATTATTTAAATAAGGTAATAAATAATTTTTTTAGCAGTTCAAATTTTTATAAGTATTTTTGGGCTTTAATGTTTTATATTAAACTAAGTTAATTGATTTTTAAAATATGTATTAGTTTAATTGACTATAAAAATGTACTAACATCAAACCTAAACTCTATATATTGCATTATAAATAGATATAAAAAATACTTACAGATTTAAATAAATTATTAGACCTCTATGGTCGATAGCATAATGGTTATGCTCTGAGGTCACAAATTATAAGACAGCTGATTTAAATCCTAGTAATGGCAATTGTAGAAATGTATTTCTAAAAATAGAGAATTCAATATTGTGAGATCAGGAACTCAAGACATCAAGAATGGATTTATTTCTAGAAATAGCAAATAAGAAGTCACATGGTGATGAAAATGAGTTAGAGTTTGATTTAGAATAACCAAAGTCATAAGATGTAATATGAGGTCAAAAGTCTGACAATAAGAGATACTACATGAACTCTTGATAACAGTTAGTTCTAGACTGAGTTTGGCAAAGTTTTTTGATCTCAGCAAAGTTCAGTATAATGGATTATTTCTAAAAAATTTAAAAACACATACCAGAAAAGATTGAGATTCAATAACCAAAAACATTAAAAACATTAGTTTGAAAATATAAGATACAAGAAAGATTTTGTCAAGATTATTAAAGAAAAAAAAAGAAAAAAAAATTTAATTATTAAAAATTAGAAAAACTAAAACTATTATAAATTCAAAGTATAAAATATACAAGAATCTATTATATTATCTAACCTAAAAATTTGATTAATTATCTTTAACAAATATTGTATGAAATAAAGTAGAAGTATAAATATTCTTACTATGTTTTGAACAATTAGAAATTTATTTTATAATGCTATAGTATTGTGACCAATTAAAATTTAAAATCAGATACAACATATAGATCATTCTTTGTATAACAAAAATAATAAATTTTTAATAAATAAATTATATTTTAAAAATTTTTTTTTTAAACTTTGACAGTCTTACTAATATTCTTTATTAAGAGAATTATATAAATATAAAATATTAGCTTAATTTTTAGGTTTAATATTCTCTAACTATTATAAAAAGCACATAAAAACAGCCTGTTATATTAGTGTAAGTTGTACTTACTATTAGAAGGCTGTCTAGACTAGTCTTTAAGACCATTCTAGTAAGATCTCTTATTATTATTAATTAACTTTCTGATTGTTTTTTTTTTATACATTTTTTATTTTATTTTTTTTAACTCTTTTTTTTTATTATTTTCTCATTTCTTGATTTCTGTATTATTTTGTATAACACTATGTCTTGCTGTTTCTCTATTTTTTTTCTTTTTTTTCACTTGTATTAATACTTTAGTTTTCTTTTCATTCATCTACTTTAAGACATCTTTCTTTTTAAATTGTTTTATAGAATTTATTTCATATAATACTTATAGCACTTGCTGTTTGTTTTCTTGATTGTGTATTTTTCATAATTAGAATTTTGATAAACTTGTTGCTAATTTTTTGTTCTTTATTAACTTTATTTTTTTGCTCTCTATTTTGATTTCTTTTACTTATCTTTCTAACTTGAAATTTTAATTTTTTTTTATTAAATATTGAGATCCAACATATTCAAACTTATTTCTAATTGTTATTGCTCTTTTTTTTAATATATTTTAAAATAGAACTCCAAATTTTTTGTTTCTTAGTTTTTCTTAATAACTATTAACAATGTTAACCTAATTAAATACACAATCTTTGCATTTTTTTAATAATGTTTTTTGTTTTTTTGGTTACATTTCTGCTTTCTAATATTTTATCTGTATTGTTTTTGGTTTTTAGCAACTATTTTCTCTAATGTTTATTTTTCTTCTTGAGCTGGTAAATTTTTAATAAGTACTTATTCTTTTTATTTTACATTATTTATTAGTATTTTTAACAAAACTTCTATTCTTTATTTATTCAATATTATAATTTTAAAGTTTAGTTTTACTATTCTGTACTTTGGGTCTTTATTTCTAGTCTTTGGAACTATTTAGTTGGTCTTTCTTTAATATTACTTCTTTTTAATAAACTTAGTTGTTGTCATATAATCATTTTGTTTTCTTCTTTATTAATTAGCTAGTGTACTAAAGCTATGTTAAGTTTTTTAAGTGCATGCACAACTAATAGAATAAAGCTTGTTTCTAGCACTTTATGTATCTTTATATTGTAGTTGTCATAAACTAAGCTTTTATTTGATTCTTTTGCTTTAAGCATTGTTAGATATGCTAAATTATTTTTTCTCAATTTACTACTTATTTTTAAAATGTTGTTATGTCATGTGTTTTTTGATACTTGTATTAACAAAAGTCTATCTTTTATTCTTATATTTATTAATATCTTTATAGAAC